GTGAGCTTTACTCCTGTTTTAATGTCGGTAGATGTGGTATGAACAGCAGTACACTGGCAGATGTAGACGAAAGGTTGATATTGGGGGTCTTTAGTTATGATAAAGGTCACCCGCTTATTAAAATAAGAATTGGCAAGTGGTGAGTTAGCAGCCAGGTGAATCTCTCCGGTAAGCCGTTTACTATATTGATAAACGGCTAGCAAGTTAGCGTTGGAAAGTGAAAGAGCTACTTTGAAGTGAGAGGTTAGGGAAATTTATATCTTATGTAGGCTACTGTCTGGGGGTGGTGGGGGGCTATGTGTATGTTTTTCTGTTAAGCACATGTGATTGCACGCTTGTGCACGCAGCCCCGCTCCACAGGCTCATCTCGGTGTGATCAGAGCCTAAGTGTATTTCCCAAAATCTTTAACAATCACTTGAATGACCAATATGATGCTACTTTTGGTCTTTTTAGTGTTTAAGCAGCAATTTAGGTCAAAGAATGTTTTGGCTTCATTTTCCTGCTTAAAATGCTAATTTCTTTTCTATTTCAAGAGTCGAAGGCAGAAAACAGATAATGGACAACATGTACAAATCAAACTGAGGCAGTGTGACAGAAAAACATTTAATTCTAGGGTAAAACCCGCATTAAAACCAGGATATGTGTGTATACGGCTTTTGAAAAACTCACTCAGGTGTAACACCAAACACCAAGGGCTTCATTAAAAGAAGCTTCCACACAAATGTATTTTAATATATGCACACCTCAGATGAATGTTAAATGTGTTGCATAAATTCCCTCTGCCTCGCTAAGCTAATGTATGAATGGACTGAGTGTGGATGTCCCTGTGTGGGTGTTGTGAGATAGCAATTGGACGGCTCTGCTCAGAGACACTAAAAACACACACAGATCAAAGCTGTGCTCCGGCCTCAGCTCAGTAACCTCAGCGATGGCACAAATGATGTTGACTATGAGCTACTTGTTTTTATGTACCCTAGTGTAATATCTGTGTGGACGTAGGACTGTAGTATGATCCTGCTCATATCTTTATGTATGTGGAAATAAGATATCAGGGGAGCTGAGCAAACAGTTTTCTCTCTAGCGTCAGAGCCTCTGCTTATAAATATTACACATATTATAAATAAAAATGAGGAGAAGCTTGATAAAAATATTTTGATAAATGTTAAATGTGGATTGTTTCTTTTAATATTTCAGGTTTCAGTGATCTAATGCACCTGGGTCTCTGACTCTCGTCCACCAGCTTGTGCTACACTACATAAATGCAGCCTTGATCTCATTGTCATTGCTGTATCTCCACCTAGTGGCCACACACTGTCATCACCACTTACTGAGGTAAGAGAGGAATGTTTCTGCACATTGGAGAAGCTCGTTCAGTTGAATGGGAAATAATTTAAAGGGTCAGTCCTTCCAGTTTGAATGAGATGGTTATTCGTTGATCAGTTCAACAGGCGAATTAAAAGACAAATATCTGCGTGCCAGTTCTGTACCACACACTGATTCTGGTTTGAGTATGTTGAGTATGCAAGGAGTGACACTCATGAATGTCACACTAACAAAAGCTTGATTTTAGTGTGCTGTTGATACAAAATATGGAATATGGAATATTGAATCTTCAGAAAATCTTCTCTTTGTGGAGGTTAAACTGTCCGTGGCATCCCAAAGACAGACTACATACTAATTCTATACAGTATTACAACAAACTAATCGTCATAGTGTACTGTTTTAGCTGATAGTATATAAAAGCAATCGACAAACCAACAGGAAATGATACAATATATGTGATGCTGGTTATTTTTTGTTAATTTTATTACTTTTGTGTTTCTTTTCTAAGGTTTTTTAGGAGCCGTTTCACCACAACCCACAATTTATTTTAATTTGTTTAAGCTTGAAGCAGCTTCTCCATTTCCTTTGTGCATCGTATTGTGGGAGAAAAACGGCTGTATTGTCTTTACATATGGTCTGCTTTGAGTACTGTACATATATATATATATTACTTGTGAATAGAGATGCACGATAATATCGGCACATCAGCACTATCGGCTAATATCAGCTTTAAAATGAACTATCAGAACCGGCCAACATGCTTTTTTTCGTAATTTGCACAATGAACGTACCTTAGAAAGTATTGTTCTTCATGTCTCCATCTGCTGGTGGGCCATCAAGATAAGAGTATGCATGCATAATATGACGTTAACTCCACTACAGAAGAGACTTGATGATCACTAACATTAGGTCTGGAAAAAAGTGGACTTATCTATATCTATATTGGTTATCGGTCAAATGAGTAGTTACACATAGGCATATCGGATACTGGCAAAAAAAATCCAATATCATGCATACCTACTCGTGGACACACGAGTGTCTTTGTGGGTCACACACAGTGCCATTCCCAAGGGGGGCTATATTACTATATTTACAATGCTGTGGTGCACTGGTTTTATAAGTGAGTGCAAAGGTAGTGATACCTTGTGAAACCAGACAACCTAAGGCATCCATTGATACCAACCATATTGTTATAGCTTGCTGGGAAGGGGACAAAATAAAGCTCCAAATTTAGGCTGAAATTTGAAGAGGGAACAACTGGCATGGCCACATGTTGGTGAGGATTCTCAGTCATCCAGGTCAGGGTGATCCTAAATGCTATATTGAAAGCAGCTAGACTTGCTTGAGTTTCTTGAAGACGTTTCACCTCTCATCCAAGAAGCTTCGTCAGTCCTAAAGGACTGGTGTGAACTGAAGAAGCCTCTTGGGATGGACACGGTCAGCAACAATACTCAGGTAGGCTGTGGTGTTTAAACCATGCTCAGTTGGTACTAAGGGGCCCAAAGTGTGCCAAGAAAATCTCCCCCACACCATTACACCACCACCAGCAGCCTGAACCATTGATACAAGGCAGGATGGATCCATGCTTTCATGTTGTTTACACCAAATTCTGACCCTACCATCTGAATGTGGCAGCAGAAATCCAGACTCATCAGACCAGGCAACGTTTTTCCAATCTTCTATTGTCCAGTTTTGGTGAGCCTGTGTGAACTGTAGCCTCAGTTTCCTGTTGTTAGCTGACAGGAGTGGCACCTGGTGTGGTCTCCTGCTGCTGTAGCCCATCTGCTTCAAGGTTGGACGTGTTGTTGCTTCAGAGATGGTCTTCTGCAGACCTTGGTTGTAACCAGTGGTTATTTGAGTTACTGTTGCCTTTCTTTCATCTTGAACCAGTCTGGCCATTCTCCTCTGACCTCTGGCATCAACAAGACATTTTGGCTCACTGGATATTTTCTCTTTGTGGGACCATCCTCTATAAACCCTAGAGATGGTTGTGTGTGAAAATCCCAGCAGACTCAGACCAGCCCGTCTGGCACCAACAATCATGCCACGTTCAAAGTCACTTAAATCACCTTTCTTCTCCATTCTGATGCTCAGTTTGAACTTCAGCAGGTCGTCTTCAGCATGTCTACATGTCTAAATGCATTGAGTGGCTGCCACGTGATTGGCTGATTAGCTATTTGCATTATAATTTGGTTGAGCTGACCCTTAACATGTTCTGGGAACATGTCATCAAGAAGGTGAACCTTTTTTTGTTAAGACAGTCATTTATTGAGGCACTTGACACAAGCCATGGAATGTACAAATCAAATACAACAAGTTTAAGGTATTTTTCACATTCTTGCATCTGTAAACATGGTAAAGATAATACATTCAGACAGTTAATTCACATTGTACTGTTCCCCAAACGGAGAGATGCATGAGAAAGATATCAACACCTCGCTGAGAGTAGTGCACAGTACACGACAGCTACAAAAACAGCAGTGGAGCCAATTACAAAACTATCACCTGACCCCCCGGTACAGCAACTCCTCATTCATGAAGTCTGTCGGCAGAGCATGAGCAAAAAAAGCGACACGTAGACAAGCTGCTCATGTGCTCTCGTTTTACCTGAACTGCATCTATTCGGTCATTTCACATAACGTGTGTGAGAGGTAAGTACACTGCAGATGAGGCATCTAAATCTATTTAGCAGCACAAGAACACTTCTCTACTTCAGAAATCTTTATTCAATAAATATATAAATACATTTCGGTTTCAGCAGGCGTGTGCACAGGCAGAGTCCAAATATGTCATCTGCTTTGGCTTCACTTTTTAGGATGTAAACATTAATGTGTTTTTGTATATCTCGCTTGTTAGCGATCACAAAAATAATTTAGACAATTTCTTCATTTGTTTTTTTCTGAGCTCGTGGCCCTGAACGTCTGCGCACACGCCTGCTCCATAGAAACATCTGAGGCCAAATAAACAAAACATTTCAGGTGTGTGACGTTGGATAAGGCTGCTGTCAGGCTACTGTTTGTTAATGAATACAGAATGAGGTTTGAAAGCTACAGCTCAAGTTCCCAAAGCTTGTGGATGTTCGTACACCCTGTCGTCCTCTGGCGGAGCTGCGCCTCACAAAACTAAACATCCAACCTAAACAGCTGGCTCAGCTGGTGCTCACATCAGTAAGGGTTAGTGTCAATAAGGCTGTGAGTTAAAGGAACGCTCCACCGAAAACACAGAGAATCAAACATTTAACTGCCTGTTAGATGTGTTTGTGCCAAAATATGGTTAAATACGGCTTCTGCTGCAGTATCACAGGACACCAACAGTGTTTTGTCTGGGGCATTTAGGGTTTTAACAACCTGAGGAGGAGTTTGCACTATAAAACTATGTACAGAAGATTATTCATGGTGTTTTTTGTTCTAACAGAATTATATTTCTGGCTGTGTGATGAAAGCTCTGACACCACCAAACAGCCAGACACAAACACAACTTTAAAGGAAACCAGTATATCTCAACCTGAACCCTATTGTTCCATGTTTTTGTGTCAAATTGATGAATAGAAACAATTTATGAAAGCGACTCAGTACTGAGCAACAGCGCTGCTGGCAACAGCCACAAAACAGGCTGCAATGTCACCACTCTGGGCAACACGTGTTGTCAGCGTACATTGTAGTGATGTGGTTGATCCCCGGGGAGTCGTTAAAGTAGAATGGATGAACACCGGATAAAAACCTCCATATCTCAGCTATAGTTTGATTGTGGGCAGACATTGCTGTAATACAGGTCAAGGTTTCAGAGCTTTATAGACCCTTTTACTGTTAGTAAACAGTATGATGTTTTTTGATGGGCGGGGCTTAGCTGGAGGCAAAACGTCTCCACAGACATTAGCTAGCGCTAGTTAGCAAGTTCTGTTGTCTTGTTTTAGACAACGGAGGAAGATGATACAAGTGGTGGATTCAGAAATACTCATTCTGAGTGTCGGAGTGACTCTGGCACGAACTGGACCGTAGATTCGGAGCGCTGTCTGAATGTACCGTTCGTTTATCCAGAGCACCGCACTCTTGGACTGGCAGAGCACACTTTCAGCACTCTGTCTGTGGAGACGGAGCAGCAGAGCGCCAAGTGGAGTGAATGCGTGATTAACTGATTTCTCCATTTTGTTTTGCTATCGAAGCTAATGTTAGTTAATGTGCTAAAAAGTTAGCGTTACAGAGAAATCCAATATTCCTCTTAATACCTCCCCAGTTTCTGATGGCGCCGAGGCGTGCTGATCCCCGGCGGCGCAGACTGGCTCCAGGGACATGGAATGTCACCACTCTGGTGGGGAAGGAATGGGAGCTGGTGCGGGAGGTGGAGTGGTACCAACTAGATGTAGCTGGGCTCACCTCCACATGCAGCACTGGGTCTGGAACCAAACTCGTGGCTTGTGTTGGAGTTCTCTGCGGAAAACAAGAGGGTTGCGACTGCGGGTCGCTAAGAGGAGGTCTCTGACTGTTGTTTGTATGTACGCACGAACCCGGCCTTCTTTAAATCTCTGGGCGCTGTCCTGGAAGGGTGGCGTTAAACACAAAAATATGGGAAAATATGGTCCAGGCTGAAAAATATCAAAGTCTCCCTTTAAAGAAATTATCACTGAACAGTTAAACAAAAAAAGAATAAAATACAAAAAACTTTTACAGCCTTTTTTTGGTGGCTGGTCAAATATTTCTTAAAAGGGATGAGCTGCACTGGAGGAACTGGGACTCAGTGATAAACAGCAGGAATAAACTATGTATTCAGCCATATTTTGGAGAAACTGACTGTTTTATAAAACACTGAGTGTGGACAGTGGAGAAGAGGATTAGACATGAAACTGGGTCCTTTCAGGCCCACAGGCAGCGTGTGTTTGACACTCTTGACATACAGTAGTTTTCCTTTAAGGAGTTTAAACTTGGACACAGTAGGTTGATGCTCAGTGTAAACAGAGTCTCCAGAGTGTCCCAGAGTGACTGTTTGTGTCGTGTTTGGTATTTATGTCGTGGTTTGCGGCCTGGTGGTGAGAATGTGGCCACACTTACACAGAGATTTTACCCCTTTATGCTCCGTATGGGATCTTTTATCTCTGCCAGAACATGGGAAAATCTGCCTGCTCAGACAGACGCAGATTTAAAAACCCCATTTTTTTTAATACCTGTGTGAAGGCAGCCGATTAGCCGGTCCCGTTGTGTGGAGTGAGGCTCTCCCAGGGGCAGATGATCTCTTTGGCTCCCACTCCTCCCCGAGAGGCAGCCCTGCTATCCTCCTCCTCATCCTCAGACTCTATGGGGTAGATACGGCACTCTGGAGGGATATCCACTTTAATCTGGAAGAAACTGTGGAGTGTTGCAGAGAGGATTTAATAAGACACGTCTGATATTCATGTTCTGTTCAAATACAGCGCAGGCAGAGAGAATTAACTCAAAGTCCAGAACATTGGATTTGAATTGTAAAAATGAGGATGACCTTGAAGTGCCAACTTTCAGATTTAGTTTGAGGATGTTTCCATTCACATTAAATAACTATTATACATACTTCCCCATTTTAATGAAACAGAAAGTCACTGAACAAGTTAACATATAAACTTAAATAAAACACAGCCCAGTCGTCAAAAGAAAATGTTGGCATTGTATGTTTCTGCAAACCACGGATTAATTACATGTATGTGTTTCATATGTATCATGTCAGCATTTCTAAAGTGACGTAGTATATGAGCTGACTTCATCATCAGGAGGGAGGGAGGGTGGATGGTGCTGCATCTTTCAGCAGCATTTTAGCTACCAAATGTGGGTGTTCTTAAGCAACCCGTCACTGTGTTTCCATCGCAGATAGTGCCACAAAAAGTGGGCGTTTTTTACCGAGACATCACTACGTTCTGCCGGGATAGTGTCAGCAAGAGTGGTTGTTTTTTACCAGTACTTAATGGCTTTTTCTAGCTGGGTTACTGCCATGTAAACCAGGTGTCTTTTATCAGGACATCGCTGCTTTTCTGCCAGGATAATGCCACTAAAAGCAGTTGGTTTTTTACAAAGAAGTGGCTGTGTTTCCTGCTGGGATAGTGCCATGAAAAGCTGTTTTTTACAGAGACACTGCTGTTTTTCTGCCAGAAAAGTGCCATGAAAATCAGCTGCTTTTACCAAGACATCATGGCATTTCCTGCCAGGATACTGGCACATAAAGTGATTGTTTTTTTTACAGAGAAGTGATTGTGTTGTTTTGTTGTTTTGTTGGGGTTTTTTTTTTTACTGAGACATCACTGCTTTTCCACCAGAAAAATGTCCATGAAAAGCAGTTGTTTTTACCAAGATATCACTGTGTTTCCTGTCGGATTAGTGCCACAAAAACCAGTTGTCTTTTATTGGGACATCATTGCGTTACTACCAGGATAATGCCACAAAAAGCGGTTGTTGTTTTTTTTACAGAGAAATTGCTGCGTTTCCTGCTGGGTTAGTACCACGAAAACCAGTTGTCTTTTTCTGGAGCATCCCTGTGTTTCTGCCATGATAATGCAACACAAAACGATTGTTATTTACAGAGAAATGGGTGTGTTTCCTACCGGGACTGTGCCACGAGAAACAGTTGTCTTTTATCAGGACATAGCTGCATTTTAGCCGGGACAGTGACACAAAAAGTGAATGTTTTTTGGTGAAACATGGCTGTGTTTCCAGCGGCTTTTTAGCCAGCAAAGCTGGGTATTTTGATCCAGGTATCAGCTACGTAATGATGTACAAATGTAGCGTATCTGTGGTTTGCAGACATGTACAGTGCCAACACGACTGCGCTGATAAATGATCACATTCAAAGAGCGCTAAGGATGCACGATGTTACATATCGGCATATTGGATATCGACAAAACATCCAATATTGTGTCTCCCTCAGAGTACAGTAAACAGATTAGAGTATCTGCACAGTAGGTGAGAGGATCATGTTGTAGGGTTTTGCATGGACTGTTTCTGTGTGTGTTATCGTCTCCCACTCACTTGCCAATCCGTCTTGGTGGAGCCTGACTGGGCTGATCCGGGCTGATGGGCTGAATGCGGCTACTTGTCCCGGCAGCTGAGTGGCATTTGGGCGACAAGCTGGCGAACATGGTGGCAGGTGTACAGCCGCGCCTCAGCAGACGACGCAGCGACAGAGCCATGCGAGATTTGGACACATTCCCACCTACGGGGGCCCGAGCAGCAGGGTTCCCCTCGCCTTCTCCGTCACTGGCCTCCACTCGCCGTTCAGACACCGAGGTGCTGTCCAAGGCCACGCTGATGGGGGACGGGCAGGCCGGAGTGTGGACCGGGAAGGGGAGAGAGGGCGAGGCATTGGCAGTGGGGAAGTCAGAGATGCCAGAGTAGACGGCGAGGTGGGGGACAGGGGTGGTGAAGCGGCACAGCTGTGAGGTCAAAGGGCAACAGACACAGAAAGTCAGAGGGCATGGAGAGAGAAAATACGTCTGCAGACAGTTCATTCATGATGTTTTACTTACTATAACTCCATGAGGCTCAGAACACGTCCATACAAACAAGACAGCAATTATAAGCAATAGGTAACCTGATATTACAGTGTATGGAAGCCAAGAACGGCCATGTTTGCATTGTTTTTATTCAAATTTTATTTATTTGAGGGTTAATTTATGTGGATTCTCAATAAAACAAAAGGCCAGTTTCTTGAGATAACCAAATAATTGATCATCAGAAAACAACTTTTTGTTTTCTCAAGGTCACAGCATAATTATACTGCAGAAACTGAGCCATCGTTTGCAAAAATCTGGTGATCTCAAGAAAGCACAAGTGTTGTTTTCTCATAATAATTCATAAATCTCGTAGTCTTAAGTCACTTGCCTTTTGTTTTCTTGAAATGGATCTCTTGTCTTTGCGATGTCAATTATTCTGTGACCTTGAGAAAGCTGATTTCTTGAGATAACAAGATAATTTATCACCAGAAAACAACTTTTGTTTCCTCAAGATCACAGGATAAATATACTGCAGTCAAGTGAGCCAGAGACAGTAAAAATGTTGTTCTCTCATAAAATATTATCTCGTAAATTTAATTAATCTGCCATTTGTTTTCTTGAAAATGGACATAAATCAACCCCTTATCTCGTTTAAATGAGCTTTGTTATTTGATTATTCAGTGACCTTGAGAAAACACAAGGCCAATTTCTCAAGATAACCAAAAAATGTATCACCAGAACACAACTTTTTGTTTTCTTGAGATCATCGGATTTACGTACATGACAGCTCACTTGACTGTGGAATGATTATTCCGTGATTTCAAGAGGACAGAAGGACGATTTCTCAACCAAACAAGATCATTTATCATCTGAAAACAACTTCTGTTTTCTTGAGATCACACATTTGCAAAAATCTGATGATAATAAAAAAACAAAAATGTTGTTTTCTCATAAAATATTATCTCGCAATCTCAAGTTGCTGTTTGTTTTCTCGAAAAATTATTAAATTAACCTAATATGTCATTTAAATGAACCTTTTCATGTCGATTATTCCAGGACCTCCAGAAAACAGAAAGCTGATATCTTGAGATAATGAGAGAAATTATAAGTTGAAAATATTGTTAATATAAACTAGTCCATACCCATTGGTAGCTTTGTCACCTTCTACCTATGACAATCCTCAATGCCTATGTGCAGTTTCACATAGATTGACCACGTCAGTGAGTAGAAAAATGTGGGACAGACAGAATGACACACTGACAGTTTCCGTGATTATGTACAGCATACCATACCATGACTTAGTCATACCAAAAATTAGAAAAAACAACAACATTGGTCCACAGGAGGAGCCACAGCGATCGGTCGCATTTTAGCCATTTTTAAGCATTTTTCTGTTGTTATAGCGCCACCCAGTTGCCAATTAGAGTTGAATTTCTCCAGTCACCTTGAGGCGTCCTGTTCTACATATCTACCAAGTTTAGTGAAAATCAATATGGCGGTTAGGCCTAGATATCATTTTGTTTGATGGGGTCAATAATGGAGGGGTCCCCTCAGATTATGTGTGGTCATATGCCTACAAAGTTGCGTGGTGATGGGTGAAACCCTTGAGATGTTATACACCTTTATGTGATGAGCCACGCCCTCTGCAATATTCATTGCCTTATAGAAGCTCAGTTTTAGTAAGTTTTCCAACTTTTGCCAAGAGGGAACTTTAGATATTGGTCCCTAGATTAAGTTCACCCAGTTTCATGCAGATCGCTCAAACTTCCTAGGAAGAGATCGATTTGAAGTGTTTTTCAAAAAATTCAAAATGGCGGAAAATCTATATAAGCGGAAGTTATGGGTTCTTGAGGCAAATTTGTTCCTCATGAGGAGAGGCATCTCTGTGCAAAGTTTCATGTCTCTACGACATACGGGGCATGAGATATGCCCATTCAAAGTTTGCAATTTCAATCGGTTGCTATAGCGCCCCCCTTTGGCCAATTGATGTAATATTGCTTCATTCGCATCCAGAGTTTTCGTCATTATATAGTAAAATAAGATTGTGTCCTCAAGATCACAGGATAATTACACTGCAGTCAAGTGAGCCATCGTTTTTGAAAATGATGTGATGTCGAGAAAGCAAAAATGTTGTGTTCTCGCAGTCTCAAGTAATCTGCCTTTTGTTTTAGATTAACCTGTTATCATGATAAAATGAGCTCTGTTACCTTGACAGAACCAAATAATTAACCTGTGATCTTGAGATAACGGCAATAAAAAAACTACAAGTATGGCCTCTTTCAGCTTCCATAAGCATCATATGTATAGTTAAACTATATGTCTCAAAGGAATGGGCTACATGACAGTCAGACTACATGAAAACAGTGAATGAATGAGAACTCAGGAGAGACAGACAAACATGAGATGGTTTAATTGTGGGTGTTTTATTAGTTTATGAGTGATGACAAAGAAAAACAGTACAATGCAGAACACTGTATGAGCGAAGACGAACAGAACAACACATGCATCATGAGAAACAACTTGACGGACAACAGTTACAGCTTGTATGGACAGAAATGTAACAGATGGTAACAGATGTCTCAACATGCCCGTTTGTCTTTTGCCTGTCGTCTCTTCTGCACACGACTCGTGTACAGACATTTGAGTAATTTAGTTTGTGTTCAAAGGCTCAGTTCACCCAGTCATAGCACCTAACCTCTTAAAGTGAGGCATTTGCTCAGTGAATATATTTTATTTGTGGTGGAAAAAACTCAGAAAGTCTCAAATGTGCAGGACTAGATTGATTTTAGGTGAGTTTACCTTTTAAAATAGCCTCATATTAATTAACTATTTATACCTGTGCTGTCTAATGTGCATACTGAGCACTGGCTTTAAAGGATAATGTAAGCATTTTTCAATCTGGACTCTATTTCTCAGTATAAATTGATCAAAGATACTGATGTCAACAACAATTTAGGTAAAGCCTATGCCATAATGTGACGTGCAGCTCCAGAAATGTAACTACACGTTGCAGCGACACAGACCTCCTGTCTGTTTCTGTAAGCTGAAACCATTTCCCTCAGTGGAAACAAAGCTTTTATTTACTTTAATTTCACAGATAAGAAACAATAAATTGTGAAGACAATAAAACCTCCACAAAAATAGCATTTTAAGTCTTGTGTGTGATTTATCCTGGCTTCATATGAGCAGAGGAAATCTCTGCTCGTCGCTAGGCTAATTTATACAATGTAAAATTCCATAGGCTTGTGCTAATAACGTTAGCATGTTACATTTGTTTGGAAAACGTGTTTAGTATAAGACAGTTGTTTTGTCAGTGAACCTTGTGAGTTGTAATGGAACGAAATTTTGTAACGTTAGGTTTGTTAAATGTTGCTGTTGTCCCTGGCTTCATATGAGTAGAGGAAAAATCGCTAAGCTAATTTATACAATGTAAAATACCATAGGCTTGTGCTAATAACGTTAGCATGTCGTTAGTATTAGACAGTTGTTTTGTCGCTGAACCTTGTGAGTTGTAATGGAGCATTTGTTAAATGCAGAGGTGGGTATTAACTAGTTACATTTACTCAGTTACATTTACTTGAGTAACATTTTGGATAAATTGTACTTTTCAGTGTAGTTTTAATGCAAAACACTTTTTACTTTTACTTGAGTTATATTGTTTTAAAGCAACAATACTCTTACTTGAACACAATATTTGGCTACTCTACCCACCTCTGAGTACATAATTACACACACACACACATATATATATGTGTACAGTATATATAAGAATATATTTGTGTTTCTTGTGCCTTGATTTATGTTATGTTTGTAAAGATTTAATTTATTTTTGTTTTAGTTAAAGGGGTATCATTTAAAATACATGAATTTGCAGATTATTATTTTTGACTGATTGATTACGTTCATGTTCTTATTTTACAAATAAATCAGACGTTACTCAACAGTTACTCAGTACTTGAGTAGTTTTTTCACCAAATACTCTTTTACTCTTACTCAAGTAATTATTTGGATGACTACTTTTTACTTTTACTTGAGTAATATTGTTCTAAAGTATCAGTACTCTTACTTGAGTACAATATTTGGCTACTCTACCCACCTCTGGTTAAATGTTGCTGTTGTCCCTGGCTTCATATGAGAAGAGAGACATCTGCTAGCTGCTTGGCTAATTTATACAATGTTAAATGCCATAGGCTTGTGCTAATAACGTTAGCATGTTGTATTTGTGGGGAAAATGTGTCCAGATAAAGACAAGTGTTTGTCTGTGAATGCTGTGAGTTATAGTGAAGCTGATTTGTGTACTTGTGTTTGAAACTGTCTCTATTAAGCCATGTTTAATGTGTGTTTAATGTGTGTTTTGAATCAACTAAACTTTACAGCACTTCACAGAAACCTCGCCGCTGACTAGTGTTTTGGAGGTGTAACTGCAGAGTGACAGACACACCACTGCACAAGTATAAATGCTCACAACAGCGTAGGCTCTGCATTGAGCTGACGCACAAGTATAAACATGCAGTGAAAGTAAAACCAAAATGAGCCAATAGATGCTTCAAAGCTCCCTAAAGTTTAGGAGAACTTCAGCAGGGTGATAATTTCTAAGTTCATCACAACAAGATGACAAGGTCATTTGATCAATTGTTATCATAGAAATATTAATTAAAGCAGCTTTAAACTTAACGTAAAATGGCATTAAAATGTAAACATTATCATTATGAAATAACCTGCAGTGTCTACTTAAATGATTCAAATAAATTATTCAATAAAATAATTGAACATTATGTGTTTGCGTTTATTTCTTAGGAGGAGGAGGAGGGGGCGCCTCCTTGCCCTGCTTGCTGAGTTTGCTCATGACCTGTGTGATGTCAACGTTGGCGGCCATCTTGGCCTTCTGCTCCTGCTCCATCTGCCGGAGGATGATGGGACTGAGACTGGGCCGTCTCTTCTTTGCATTCTGCTCCAACTGGGCATCACTGGGAGGGAGAGAAAAGAGAGATGGTGAGGAAAGGAGGGAGAGAGATGAAAATGAGAAAAGAGAAGAGGAGGGAGGGAAAGACAAGGTGAAAATTAAGTTTTGGAGAATGATGGATGTGGTCGTTTAAGGGAGCTACAGGGCCGCTAATATCAGCCAGAGAGATGAGAGATATAAACTTTGGTTTTTCAGGCCAATGTCACCCCTAAGTCATCCTCTGCAGCGATGAGTCGATGCTTTCTTTTCCTCATTTGATACATTTGTTCTTTATCAGGCTGGTTGAGGAATAAAGTTTATCCTCTAATTAAAGCAGCAGATTAAAGTTCAAAATGTAAAAAAGCTCCTTTAATTAAATACAAAAACATGTGAATCAAAAGTTGCCACATACGTGAAATTGTGCTCCTCAGGACAGATGGCCTTCTTCATCGTCTCCTTAAACACGGGAGATTTCTGGTACCGGCCGTACGAGTCCTGCAAACACACAAACTCCTCATGAATCAGTGTTTGGTGATGGTGAGCACAAGGTTGAGGGAACTACAACACATCCGTTAGCTTGTCTTGAAAACCCACACACTGGTGTGTTTACTGACCTTCTTCATGAGCATGTAGATGTGAGTTTGGGCAGCGTCCAGGACGTATCTGTGTGGGTGTTTCAGGCCTTTCACTGTGATTTCCATCGTCTTTCCGTCGATGTTGATCCACCGCGGTGCACCACGTGCCAGGAAGGTCCTGAAAGACAGACAAAATGCTGTAAGACTAGCACCAGTGGTGGAATACAACTAAGTACATCTCCTGCATTTAAAGGGAAAATGCACCCCAAAAAAACAAGAACAGAAATTTTTCCTCTTACCTGTAGTGCTGTTTATCAGTCTAATTTGTTTCGGTGTGAGTCACTGAGTGTTGGAGATATCGGCCGTAGAGATGTCTGCCTTCTCTCCAGTATAATGGAACTAGATGGCACTCAGCTTGTGGAGCTCAAAGCGCCAAAAAAGTGCCTTTGAAAAACTCAACATCAATGTCTCTTTCCAGGAATCATGACCCTGTTACTCAAGATAATCCACAGACCTTGTTGTGAGCAGTTTCATGTAGGACCTATTTTCTTTCTACCACACTACACCCACCAACCTTATTATTGCGCAGAAGGAAGTGTGGATCTACTACTAGCTCACCCAGCACCACTAAGCTAGCTGACATTACCGCTCAACCAAGGCGGACGCCAATGATGTTTACATCTCACGCTGTCACTAGTACAAACCTCTTGTCAATGAGTAGATGCACGCTTGCTGAGCAGCAGATGACACTGTTCAGTGCCACCATTGTGTGAATGGGTGAATGTGACTGTTGTGAGCAGTTTCATGTAGGAACTATTTTCCTTCTTCAGAACTACACCCGCCTACTGCACCAACGCCCAGAGGGAAGTGAGAGGCTCGTGACAGTGCAAGATGTGAGCTGTAAGGCGCCCTTAGCTGAGCTATAACGTTAGCTAGCTCTGTGGTGCTAGGTGAGCTGTCAGTAGATGCACACTTCCTCCTGGTGGTGCAGTTGGTGGGTGTTGTTCCTGCATGAAACTGCTCACAACAAGGTAAATGGGCTGCACTTGTACAGCGCTTTTTTGGTCTTCCAACTACCACACGGCTTTTACACTACGTCACATTCACCCATTCACATACTGCTAGCTGAGGCTACCATGAATGGTGCCACGTTCTATTCAGTAAGCATTCACACACTGATGTTTCGACATGCAGACTGGAGGAGCCGGGCATTGAACTGCCGATCTTCTGATTGGTGGACGACCCGCTCTACCTCTGAGCCTTAGCCGCCCCAAGGTCTGTCTGACAGCACCAGATGTAAATATTAATGGCGTCCACCTTGGTTGAGCTGTAGTGTTAGCTAGTTCAGTGGTGCTAGGTGAGCTAGCAGTAGATGCACGCTTCCTTCTGCACGATAATAAGGTTGGTGGGTGTAGTTTAATAGAAAGAAAATAGTTCCGACATGAAACTGCTCACAACAGGGTCTGTGGATTATCTTGAGTAACTGGGTCCTGATTTCTGTTAAGAGACATTGCTGTTTTTCAAATGTATTATTTTGGCGCTTTGAGCACCACAAGCTGAGTGCCATCTAGTTCCATTATATTGGAGCGAAGGCAGACATCTCTACAGCCGATATCTCCAACATTCGGCAACTCACACCAAAACAATCTAAACTGATAAAAAGCACTACAGGTAAGAGGAAGAATATGTATTTTTGATTTTTGGGGTGAACAAACTGAGGTACTTGTACTTTACTCATTAATGATCTTTTCCTGCCACTAAAACACATTTCAGAGGAAAATTCTGTACTTTTAACTACACTACAAATATCTCATTGCTATAATACCGGTTCATCTCAACTTCCAAAATGTCTTGTTTTGTCTGAGCAGCAGTCCAAAACACAAAGATATTCAGTTTACAGTAATATAAAACAACATTGTCTTCACATAGAGAATAAATGAGGACATTACTTGTATATATGCTCTGCTTTCTCTCTCATAGTCGCAGCTTCGCCCCACTTCAGATCTTCACAACCCTCCCAGAACGCCAGGTTCTCACCTAAGATGGATCAGAATAGAAAATATTAGAAAACTATTCTTAGCCTCTTCTAATGGCTGAAAACAATTAACATGTATGACCAAAAATAAATCTGCAGAACAGCAATTCTGCAACAACAATACTTCTGTAATCAGTGGTGTTGCACTTATTTTTAAGCCGATTAAAATAAAGACCATCATACCGCTGAATTCTTTCTTCAGGAAGAGTCTGAAATCGTCTCGTCCTCGAGGGTCAGAGAGCAGCTCTGAGAAGCTAAACGTCCACCTCTCCACACGCATCTTCGTTGGTATTTCCACACTGTCACGCACACACAAATAAAATGAACATATTGATACATGATTTATTTTAAATTACTCTCTGAATACAGTACAGATTTTGTGTCGTCCACTGCTGACTCACCTGGGCATGTTCAAGGTCCAGTACGTGACATCATCAGTGAGCCAGGGGTTGCTGGGAAGACACTTGGAGAGGAAAGGGTCGTGACTGTGATAGGTGGAGCAGTACTTCACCAATCTGTAGAACAAGGAGAAATAATTTAATAATTAATAATCAATATTTTTTTCCTTACAAAAGGAGTTAGCAGTTGTGTTTATTACACCAGTAAATGTTAGCCAAAGTGATGTTTCATGCACAAGAGTCACTTCATAAATTAGTGACCAGATATAGGATATCTTAAAATGTTCTTGGCATATTCTATTCAAATTTAGCAGAAAATTAAAGGGAACTTTCTGCATCAAAATACAAAGACATCAACAATCTCTTTGACTTGGCGAAAGCAAAGAAATCCCGTCAATAACTCCTGGACTGACAGCACAAAAAGTATCACGTATTTTCTGACCCATGGCTTACAGAGTAAATTTGATGTTTTTCAACCTGGACCCCATTTTACCATATTTTTGTGTCTAAGGGTGGTTTCACACCTGCACTGTTGTTTTTGGTTCAATTGAACTCTAGGTTTGTTTGTCCCTTAAGTGCAGTTCGTTTAGCCAGGTGTGAACACAGCAATCACACTTGTGTGCGCACCAAAACAACTGGGCCAGTTACAAACAAACAATGTTGTCAGCATATAAAATAACATTCTGAAAACAAGCACTTTTAGTGGACATACTAAACTGATGCTGAACAATTGCCGGTCGGGATTATATTTTGGGTTGGGAGAGTTACGGCCTCAAGAGAGGGAGTTCAAGTATCTGGGGGTCTTGTTCACGAGTGAGGGTAGAATGGAGCGTGACATGGATCGGCGGTTTGGTGCGGCTTGTGCAGTGATGTGGGCGCTGCGCTGGACTGTCGTGCTAAAGACGGAGCTGAGCCAGAAGGCAAAGCTTTCAATTTACTGGTCCATCTACATCCCGACCCTCACCTATGGTCATGAGCTCTGAGTAGTGACCAAAAGAATTAGATCGCAGATACAAGCGGCCAAAATGAGTTTCTTCCGTAGGGTGTCTAGGCTCAGCCTTAGAGATAGGGTAAGGGGCTCGGACGTCCGGAGGGAGCTCAGAGTAGAGTCGCTGCTCCTTTGCGTTGAAAGGGGTCAGTTGAGGTGGTTCGGGCATCTGATCAGGATCCTCCTGGGCGTCTCCTGTTAGAAGTGTTCTTGGCATGTCCCACTGGTAGGAGGCCCCGGGGAGACTCAGAACACGCTGGAGGAATTACATATCTCATCTGGCTTGGGAACGCCTTGGGCTCCTCCAGGAGGAGCTGGAAGGTGTTGCTGGGGAGAGGGACGTCTGGGGTGCTTTGCTTGGCCTGCTGCCCCCGCGACCTGGTCACAGCAAAGCAGGTGAAAATGGATGGATGGATCACATTGCAGCCTATTCCACCGCTGCAGCGCTCTCTTTCAATACTGGACCAATTAAAGAAATGGTTGTCTCCAATATTCAGTTAAACACTAAAACATGGGAGCGCCCATTAGCTCACCTGGTAGAGGAGGCATCCCATGTTCAAAGGCTTTGACCTTGCCAAAGTGGCTGTGGGTTCGATTCCAACCTACAGTCCCCTGCTGCATGTCGTAAATTGGAGGAGGTATGCATTCTCTTCACAAGTCACTGCACCTTCAGTTACCATATCTATATCTCCTGTGCATGACTTTCACCTGTCCTACATGTGAACGTCCCTCAGTGGAGATGTTATTTCGAGACATACACTATATGATGAAACCAAACGACAGTGACTGGTTTGTCACCGATAGAAGCAGACTGGGAATATGATGGACAATCTTACGCGCCAATGGACACAGATGACTTCACTCGGGGCCTCATGATGGACTGCTGCGTGAAGATCATCTGCAGGGAGGCGGAAGAGACATGACAGCTATGAAGATGTCAGGGAAACAGATCTGTCTCTGTGGATCACTAATGGTTAACACAGCTGTTGGTTTAGATCAAACAGGACGAGGGGAAAAATGTTGGAAAAAAAATATATCTCACTCACGATTCTGTCGTAGAAGTCGGGTGTTTTGGCCTGTGGGAAAAAAAATTACAGATTTTATGTCATATCACAAAAAAATCTATATACTCTGACCTACATTCTTATGTATACTGTTCTCACATTTATATTTAAGACAGCATTTTTATTTTTTATCTACACTGCTGTTATAAATTGCACATATTTTTACATATTTCTTATATTTATATTTTCTGTATTTTTATCATGTATTATATATGGTAACATAATGCAAATATTTTTTATATACTTCTTATTTTCTCTAATAGTTTCTCTGTGCTTATAAGAGCAGCTGTAATGTGACCTAATTTCCCCGGGGATCAATAAAGTATTCCTGGTTCTGACGCAGACACAGAGGGATGTTGTGCTCTTGGTGTTTCTGTGTTCATGCTCTTGTTCTTTTTTTAAGGACCACTGTGAGGTTTGGACCCAACAAGCAAGGAAATTTTGGTCAATCCTAACTGTTTGAGGCTTAAACGAGTACTCGATATTATCGGATTCATGATGGGAAGTTGAAACAAAGGATCAAAACTGACGCTGCAGAACTACAGATATTTTCTTTTTTCCTTGGTGAACTTGATGCTTACACAACCCACAGTGCAACTCGACCACTGATGGTTCAGTCAGACATTTGTGTGCCTATTTTTTTCCTCAAGAGTGTTTCACCTCGCCCTGCTGTGCTGTGGTTGGCCAGCACTTGTCATGATGAAGCATTGAGGTCGGACCAGTCAGCAACCTCTGGGGCTGAAAATCAAACCCAAGAACTGCAGTTCCTCTAATGGCCACTTGAGGCTGGCTCCAGAAGCGAGTCAATCCCCACAGACTCCCATGTTAAAATGCCCAGCTTTACAGCAGAAATAAACATGTTTACAGCATGGTACTAAAAAGGTTTTGGTCTTTATAGCTAATTTACACATTTATGACAGCTGTATGGGGGGTGATTTTTTTATATAACTCATTCTTTAACATTTTATTAAGGCCTAAAGTTACACATAAGTTAAGTAAACAGAACTCCCACTGCACAGCCAGTCTCAAGGACCAGGTGCTGGCCGGCCGCAGGAACATCTCAGGTAAAATCATAAACACTAACCACCGTAGACTGACATTAGTCACATGACCCATGTATATTTAGTACACCTGTGAGTGCTCATGTGATTCTGTTGAGTAGGGCTGCAACTAACGATTATTTCTTATTTATTTCTTCGATTAGTTGACTAATCGTTGTATTGAAAAATGTGTTAATATGTTGAAAATGTCGGTCTGTCTCTCCCAAACCCCCAAATTATGTCATCTAGTGTCTTGTTTTGTACTCACGCCAAAGGGTTTTACTTCACTGTTATGGGAGAGTGTGTAAAGCTGCCAATATTTGTACATAATAAGAGTATTTGGGGTACTTTTACAGTACTTTTCTATGAAAAATGGCTAAAACTGATTAGTCGACTACTAAAATAGTCACTGATTATTTTAATAGTTGATTAGTCATCGATTAGTCGACTAAATGGCAGAACATAAAGGTCCACGTGGAAAAAAAACATTTCGGATTTTACTAAAAGAAGGAAATCACCTGTTGATTTATATATATAGATCCCAGGGGACATTTTTTTATATTTAGGAGCAGTTTAAATGTGTAATTTGTGTTAGATTTTATTTTGTTGAGCTACTAATATTGTATACAGAATCTGAAGCTCACTCTGAGTTACTGTTGTTCATCCCTAGCCCCTGGGGCCTAAAGAAATATTAAGACGCCCAGGGATGCTGTAGTACTTCCTAAGACCTGTAACCAGACTTTGATGTGTAGAAGCAGTTGAGTTTCCCTTTACGGTCAGAATTCAGATTAGGTCCAGGCTATATTAAGGATTAAGCATTTAGTTGTGATGGCCAAGGTTATGACAGAACTTAGGGAATGCATTACTGTTTGTCAAGTACAAATATAGGGGTTGTGTGCAAATAGGTGTTCGTAACCAGTTTAAAGGTCCAAATACAAAAGGACAGCCATGGGAAATATCTGCAGAAGAGAGGAAAAGAAAGAGAGACAGACAAGTTCATTTTAGTACAAGATTAATGATTAAATCAGCAGAGAGGGAAAGGAAAAGACAGACAAGCATCAGGTATCCTTTATACCACACCTGGCTCCATGCATTAAAGCCTCTTACTGAATATAAGCTGATCGGCAGGAATTATCTTCATACAGGTCACACACAGACTCACCTGTTACCTCGTCTGCGTTGGGATCTGTTAGTCGATCCAGTCCATAGTCCATAGCGCTCACTGTCCCCGGCTACACACACACACACACACACACACACAAACACGATGACAACAAAAAACACTTTCACAATGTGTTTACCAGAGGACTCATTAATTAAAGCAGATGGCCGTTTGATGATGCTAATCACAGGCTGCTAATGTGTCACACTGCTCCTGAATCCCGACCATCTGAGACATCAAGAGCACAGACACACGTAAAATGTGATTTTGTGAATCTACTGTTTGACTTTACAGATACAACTTAAGGTAATTCGTTTGTCTCCAGCTGACATGTTTTGACTTGAACCACATTTACCATCAGGATGATTCTGTCCCTGGATTATAATATTATCTGAGATTCAAAGCTGACTGTGACTATAAAAGGATGAGTGTGTTGCAGTATGTAACTGTCAGCTGGGAAAACAAGTGAGACATATGCATAATATCGTGATATTATTCTAGGGCCATATCACCCACCCCTAGTTGCTACCAGTTTGTTAGGTTTCACTTTCCTTAGGTTTAGGCGCCAAAACGATGTGATTAGGAAAGATCAAGGTTGGACAGAAGCATTGGTTTTACATGGTCTCCTGGGTGAAAGTCCTGTGTTTGACCCATTCACCACCCTCACCACCTGACCTTTATGCAGACTGTCTCACACATATAGAGTTTAATTGGTCTGGTTTGACCAGTTTGCTTGAAGTTAGCACACTTAATAAAGATGTTGCTGTATAAACACATCTGAGTCAGCTCACTGATAATATGACTGTTCTCTACTTACATAATTGTTACACTATGTTTTTAGTAACTGTCACTTGTTGTCTTGAACTTTTGCTGGTCGGCGTTCAACAACAGTTAGGGTTGTACACATGCCCTGTGTTTTGCTTGCTCAAATTCATTGTTTTCAATGCGGAAATGTGGCAGGCATTCTCAAACGCCAAAGCAACGCTGTCACAGCATGCACACGTTCCCGAGTGCCTATTTTTTAGGACTTCATGGCTGCGCCTTGAGATAAGCCGAGTTCAACTTTTGGAACCCAGCAGTAGACAACTAATCAATTTGGTCGGCACAGTGGTGCAGTGGTTAGCATTGTCGCCTCACAGCAAGAGGGTTCCTGGTTTGGTTGGGGAGCTCTTCTGTGCAGAATTTGCATGTCCTCCCTGTGTCAGTCAGTATGTTTACATGCAGCCTGAGAAAATCAAATTATTGGCTTAGTCCAACTGAAACCGGACTTTTAAATGCATGTAAACAGCTTAGTCCGACTGAAATATTCGACTAACACACTTAGATAAATTCAATTGAAAATCAAACTATTGCTGCATGTATCCACTTAGTCCGACTGGAGTCGGACACGGCGTTCTGCACATGCACCACTTTTTCTTTCGCGGGCTTTCACACAGAAGAAGAAGAAGATGACGTAGCAGCAGTTCAGTATACAGCAGCGCAGTAACTCCCGTAAAAACAAACAAACAAACAAACATCATGGCGACCAAGAAGAACAAGACGCACTTCTGGACAGACGAGGCAAATACATCCATCTCCGCCATCTTCATTCGTCGTTAGCTTCCTCTTTGGGTCAACCGGAAGTAGTTCAATACGCACTATATTAAAAAGGACACAGCACCGCCTATCGAGGTGGAGTCAGACGAACTGATTAGCCGAGCTATGAGCTTAGCTCGACTACTGCGTGCATGTTAACGTACTGAGTGTGGGTTTTCTCTGGGTACTCCGGCTTCCTCCCACAGTCCAAAGACTCTAAATTGTCTGTAGGTGTGAATGTGAGCATGAATGGTTGTTTGTCTCTATGTGATAGTCTGGTGACCTGTCCAGGGTGTACCCCGCCTTTCACCCAATCACAGCTGGGTTTCCAGCAACCCCGCAACCCCTTACAGGATAAGCGGTTACAGAAAATGAATGGATCAATTAATTGCCTACAGAAGTGGAAACCAACAAGAACTGGCTGAGCGACAGGCTGCGAGTTTCCTGTGGGTCAATCAGTTTGAGATAATTAAGGAATATGCGACATATTAGTCTCGCTCACCAGACCTTTCTCAAGAAAAGAAAGGTCTGGCTGGGCCGACTCTCACTTTGAGATTGGAGAAAAAAACACCCCGGCTGCTTGTATTTCTTTCAACCAATCACAATCGTTCTGGGTGGTGCCACAGCAACGGTGCGCTTGCAAAAATATTGCCGGGGGGAAACAGGTTTTGGTGTAACACGCCCACAAAAATATCACCTACAGGACGTGAACCATGGCAGAAAAATGGCTACATCCCCGCAAGATCAAACACTGCAAAAGTTAGTAAAGGACGTGTTGAAAACGGTTGAAAACTGCTACACAACCGGAGGTGGTAGGGCGGGACTTCAGCGGGTGGCTCGTTCCACCCAATGAGAGGCTGATCTATGCAGCGAACTTCCGCCCACTCAGACTAGCAACATATTAACACAGTTTGACCTGAAACAATAAACATCTGGTCCTCCAGATGATGTAACAAAGCAGGACCTCCAAGACGGCCCTGAGCTTGTCTGTTGATATTTGCCTCAGAGGGCGATTAAAGTACCGCAAAGCAAAACAACACACAGTGACCCTGGGTCTGTCGGGGACTCTGGAGGTCTGGGGAGCAGCGAGTCTGGTCAGTGACACGGCCTCATGAAACAGAGTGAAACTCACAATGTCGCAAGAACAAGTTGCAAACCTCTGCACCACCTTCTCCTACGCAGTGTGAAATATTAATCAGCGGTGCCCTTTCCCTCTGACTGGACATGTAATGGTAATGAGGCATCATGGGTAGAGCTAATGAGATACCCTGGGAAGTAATTAGGTGGAGTGCAATTTATTTTCAGACGTCTCTGTCTGCTGGCAATCCACTGGTATCTACATGAAGCTGTATCCTGTGTGTGTGTGTGTGTGTGTGTGTGCTCTCACCGGAGGTCTGTGAACCACCCAGTACGCTCTCTCCTGGCAGTCAAACACCACACGGTCCGGTTTCTTCCTCTCCTTCGCAGCCCTGAGAATCACACACACACCCCGGAGCATCATAACGCTGCCTTGATCTTAAACCTGAGTGATGCCTCTGAGTGTCTCACACTCCTACCTGTACTGCTCTTTAGCTTGCATCACTATGAAGTCCCATTTATGATTCATCCACTTGTGAAGACGGTTATACTGCTCCTGAGGACGTTAAATAACACCTCAGTAAATGCCAGCAGACAAAGTGGCTCACTCTCCGCTCACTCTCGGTCTCACCTGCTCGTGCAGCTCCAGGACACCTTTCTTACGGATGTTTCTTTTCGCCAGGTAGATTGCTTCAGTGACGAAACAGAAAGTGTGAGTGTTGGTAACAGCACCTGTGATAACACGCACAACTTTAGTTACACTCACCGTAATCTGTATCCTCAACAGGCCACTGCTGTGTGGGCCAGAAGTACGGTGTCTGGAGAGGACAAAAGGCAGAAGTTTTATTGTCAAGGAACAGAACAACAGACTCATTAAACATCTTAAAATGTGGTGTGTTCACCTGGAAGCGGTAGAGAGACGCATCTGGTTTGAGCAGTAAGCGTTTGTGGTCTTGTAGAGGGTAGACGTATCCTAACGCCACCAGCATAGAGCCCAGACTCCTTGCCTCTGAGGACGACAGACAGAGACGAGCAGGAGTTAAAGGAAAAGCTGACTGAGGCTGTGTTTCATGTACACATATATGTATATATAACAGCTTCAGCTCATCGCTCACCTTGTGTGTCTATTTTAAATCTGTCCACTAACCACGCGATGATGTCTTCACCTGAGGAGGGAAGATGGAAATGATGACAAAATATTTTAAATGCTCACCATCAGTTTTACAAATGAGAAGAGATGAGGAAAGGAAAGGAAAGGAAAGGAAAGATGGGGAAAACATAACATAGAAAAGGAAACGAGAAGAGAAGGAAAAGGAGAGATGAGTTGAGGTGAGGGGGAAAGGAAAGTAGGGAAGACAGGAAGAGAGGAGAGATAAAAATGGAAGAAAGAGACGGAGGAGAGAGGAAAAGAAAGGAATGGAAAGGAAACAGGATGAGTAGGGAAAGGAGAGGAAAGGGAAGGAGAGGAATGGGAAGGACAAGAGAGCAAAGAGAGAAGAGGAGAGGAGAGGAGAGGAAGAAAATGGGAAGAGATAAGAGGAGGGGAGAGACAGGAAAGGAAAGGAAAGGAAAGGAAAGGATGGAAAGGAAAGGAAAGGAAAGGAAAGGAAAGAAGAAGAGATAAAGGAGAGGGAGAGGAAGACGAGGAGGAACAGTAAGGAGGAGAGAAATGAGTAGTGGAGAGACAGGAAAGGAGGGGAGAGGAATGGAAAAGAAAGGAAAGAAGAGAGGAGGAAAGGTAAGGAGGGGAGAGAGGTGAGCAGAGACAAGAAAGGACAGGAGAAAGGAAAGGAAAGGAAAGGAAAGGAAAGGAAAGAAGACGAGATAAAGGGAGAGGAAAGACAAGAAATTAATGGTGGAAAGGAATGAAGGGAGGATGAAAGTGAAGGAGGTGGAGGGAGAAAAGAAGAGAGGGACAGGAAAGAAAGGAAAAGGAGAGGAGGAAAGGAATGAGGAGAGATAAGAGGAGAGAGGACAGAAAAGGACAGAAAATTAAACGAAAGGAAATAAAGGAAAGGAAAGGAGAAAATAGAGGACAGGAGACAGGGAATAAAGGGGAGGAAAAGAGTGAACAGGAAAGGAAATGAGAGAAGAGGGAAAGAGAGGAGGAAAAGAAAGGAGGGGAGAAAGAGGAGAGGAGATACAGAAATTAAAGAGAGATTAAAAAGGAGAGCAGCAGCAGCAGTCTCCATGTTTGCTTGGTTTCCTTCATTCAGCTGATTTAACCTGCCTGGATTCAAAAGCTCAACAGTGACGTAACAGCCGAGGTTTCCTTTCTCCTCCACCTCCTCACTAGCGCTCTGTTTTTCTCTTGTTCCTGTCTCTGTTACTTGCTCTTTTCCTCTCGCACACTCAATCATCATCCTCCTCCTCCTCCTTCACCTCCTACTTTTTTCCCGCTCCCTGACTCGGAGACCGCGGGGGTTGTCATGGAGATTAAATCTGTAGCTCTCCAGTTTGCGCCCGCAGCTCTGGTATCCTCCAGTGAGACTATGCAGGAGCAATCAGTCAAACAGCTGCTGAATAACATCAAGTGTGTACTGTACTGTATATGTGCAGTGTGTGTGTGTGTGTGTGTGTGTGCTCTCTCTCTACCTGTGATAGCGTGTGGTATTGTTGTGATAACCAGTCTCTGAGGCTGTGACTTCACTCCTGTTTTGGGGTCCTGCATCTCCAGCAGCACCTTCTCCGCCTGCAGAGGAATATTATGAGGGGGTGAGAAGAGGTTACTATGACAACTGATTGTGAGGGGTCAGAGGCAGCAGGTCACCATGCCAACCAGTCGCTTGGGGGCAGCTGTTATGGAGGGAAAATCAGGGCAGCACATTATGTCATCTGTGGTTAAAGTCCAGTTACACAAAACAGCAGTCGGTGGCGAGGTTTCTGTGAAGTGCTGTAAAGTTTAGTTGATTCAAAACACACATTAAACACACATTAAACATGGCTTAATAGAGACAGTTTCAAACACAAGTACACAAATCAGCTTCACTATAACTCGCAGCATTCACAAACACTTGTCTTTATCTGGACACATTTTCCCCACAAATACAACATGCTAATGTTTTTAGCACAAGCCTATGGCATTTTGCATTGTATAAATTAACCTAACGGGCTAGTGGACTTTTTCCACTTCTCATATAAAACCAGGGACAACAGCAACATTTAACAAAGGTAACGCTACATAATTTGGCTCCATTACAGCTCACAAGGTTCACTGACAAAACAACTGTCTTATACTAAACACGTTTTCCAAACAAAGACAACATGCTAACGTTATTAGCACAACCCCCTTTAGAATCAGCAGTTAATATCTACATAGAGAGTGGGTCCTTGTTTATGGAGACCACCATGTCCACAGTCCTGTTTCTACAGTAGCCCAGAATGGACAAACAAAACACTGACACAGATTTTGTAATGTGAAACTGCTTTATTCAGTGTTTTTACAAGTTTAAATCATCTAGTTTGGTTGTTTCTGGAATGGAAGAGACAGCTGCAGATAATTTGGCTCCTGGTGGAAAACTCCTAAACTTCTGGATCTTAAGTTACCAGAGAAAAAAGGTGAGCAACATTGACAGATGCTGTCACTACTAAACGGATCCAGTGATTTAAACCAGTAAAAACACTGAAGAAAGCAGTTCCACCCTAAAAAAACAGTTTGCGTTTATGTGACGCTGCTTGTCATCGCTCGTCATGAAGAGGTTGCAAACATGGACTGGCCCTATCTAGAGCCAGTGGGTGTTTCTCAAAATCAAGGAAGGATCCTTAAATGGCTGAATTTCCAGGATGCTACGTCATCGAATCCCGCCCAAGGACTGTTCCAATGTCAAGGATACTTCACATTCTTTGAGAAATACCAACCATTTGGTTGGTCGCTTCTGGACTTCTGTAGAAACATGGCAGCACAACATTAAATTCTCCCTCAACAAGGACCCTCTCCCTATGTAGATAGATAGATAGATGGCCACTTTATTAGGCACACCTGTTCAACTGGTCATTAAAGCAAATAGCTAATCAGTCAATCACATGGCAGCAACTCAGTGTATTTAGACATGTAGACATGGTCAAGACGACCTGCTAAAGTTCAAACATGACAATGAGTTCACTGTACTCCAATGGCCTCCACAGTCACCAGATCTCAGTCCAATAGAGCACCTTTGGGATGTGGTGGAACGGGAGATTCTCATCATGGATGTGCAGCCGACAAATCTGCAGCAACTGTGTGATGTCATCATGTCAATATGGAGCAAAATCTCTGAGGAGTGTTTCCAGCACCTTGTTGAATCTGTGCCACCAAGAATTAAAAAAGGGGTCCAACCTGGTATTAGCAAGGTGTACCTAATAAAGTGTCTGGTGAGAGTAAATGGCTCATTCCAAGGTAACGAAAACAAAATGATTCTTATTTTCAGGTGATTATACACTAAAGAAAACACATTATATTATTATATCATATTCCATTGCTGCCAATATATCCTCCTGAATCATTCACACTGGACCTTAAATGCTGCATTTACAGAGGGGAGAGGTGACATAAGAGGTTTATTTCATGCCCTGATGTCATGGCTTTTATTTGGCTTGTGTGGGAGGTTTTGCGGTGAGTCACTGCCCTCTAAACAGGTTTCTTTTTTTTTTTTCACTTATCATATCATCTAATGCTGCAGCTCTCACTGATCCCACAGGTGTGGGTGAACTGAAAGCAAGAAATCATGCAGTACGTTAATTCAGTTTGTGTGAAAGTGTGTGTGAGAGGGAGAGAGTGTGAGAGTGTGTGCGATGACTCGCGGGCCTGTTTGAAGTGGCTTTGTGCTTTGAAGTCATCCTGGAGAGGCTATAAGCCTCCAGGCTGAGCCCGACCAAAGTGGGCTTTCATGGACCAAAACACAAAGTTGTCCTGGAAAATGACTTATCTGTGAGGGTTCCCCCTGGAGAGCAGGGCACTGTGAGCGCTGCATTAGGGTACAATAGGAACATTTTTGCTAATTAAAGAGCTCTACCTTAATTATTTCCTGCGCATTTTTTATTTACTTCACGGTGATAAATATCCAGCAGTGGAGAAAAGAATGGAGCCTGACTCTGTCCACAGCACCGGGCTGTTGTTGACCAGCACACAGCGCCTGGATTAACTTCTCTGCAGCGTCTGCTTGTTGTAGATGGAAGATACTGATCCAGGCTTAATGCTTATTAAACTGAATGACCTTATCACTGTGAAAAGGTTGCAATAAAACACAGTCTCACATTTAGTGTGACAGACACTGAACCCAAGATAGCGTGTTTGTTTTGACGTCTTGTCATCCTTCTGTATTTCTGAACGCTTGGCTCTTATGAAATGTTATTTTTCAGCACTAATTCTGATCAGAAATCCAGATTTGCATGCATAATTTAAACATTTCACATTTCTTTTCTTTTTTCGTTTTTGCATCTCCTCAAAGTATTCTGCAATCCAAATAGCACCTGTGAGCTTTGCTGCTTTTCAAAATTATCTAATCTAGATAAATGTACACACTAAAAGCATCCGGAAACCCACCACTGAGGATCTCTTACATACACAGGCTGCAGTTTATAAGAGCAAATGCCTGTACATCCAGGGTTTGTGAGGATAAAGCAGACCACTACAGCCCAGGTATTGCGTTGGAGCAGCCACATAAGTGACCTATCTATAGGTGCGTCTACAGGTGTAGTCTACAAGCCTGAGCAGGGCTGTGATCATCATCATCATCCCTGATGCACAAGGATAACCTACCTTCTTGAGACAAGCCATCCGAGGTCGGTACCTCTGCCCATGATCCCGCAGGGTGTTCCTGATGGTCATGGTGTCTGGTGATCCCCCCACTCACACACAAACATACACAATGCTGCTGTCGCCTGTGAGCCCTGTGTCGTGTGGGGATGCTGGAGGGGAAGTAGACTGATAGATACCGATGCTGCCTTCAGGTGTCCCCAGTAAGCTCCGGCTTGGGTGGTGGGAAATTGCGAATATGTTTGTACACTCTCATTTCTCGCGCTGACGTGGACGCCATAGATTAGATTTCAGCGAAGTGAAGTATGTAACAAAAAACATCCATGAGCATGCACGTCAATTAATGACATAAAAAAATACAAAGAAAAGCGCAAAAATAATAAAAGTAAATCTTAATCTGTCAAATATTGACAAATGTTTTAAGATATTCACTTCAAGACTCTGCTAACTCACCACTAATATTAAATAAGGGACTTCCGGTCTGCATTTCCCGTTTTTTTGACTGTTTGAAGTGCGTTCATGTAGAAGTTTTCATATTTCCAACAGCATTAGAACGCAGCATACCTAAAGAGAAAGGCGAATCAACCAATCAGAGCGCGCTTTATTCTATCAGTTACGCCAATACGGAAGTAAATCAGCAGAGGGCGACATGGTACCACCAGTGCGGACTTATCTGTCGATAACGTCCCTATTAAACTGGCTGACTGACAGTTTATGAGTTTATTAGGTTACTAGATGCTTCTATCGCGCATGGTTTAATAACAGGACACTGAAAGTTGGCCAATTGCATAATAAAATAGTTAATTATTGATCTACAAAATGAATTCAAAATACATTTCAAAGAAAGGAGTATGCTGTTGTTTTCAGTGCGAGGGGAGTTTGGGCTGAATGTTATTAAAACTGCTTGAGATGAATTATTTGTGTGTTTTATTCTAACAACTTGAACATCCCTGCTACAAATAATCAGTTATTGTTGTTTTATAGAACTTATCTTTCTTCTACAATTGCACTGAGAAGTGGTGGAAGTCAAAAGTTACAATGGGTGGGATGTTAATTGTAACATATTGCACTGAAAGATATTGCCAGCTTCAAAACAAAATAATCTGTGTCAGACTTATATTTTAAAACACGTTAGGTGGAACCCTGCAGATACAGTACGGTCGAAACTTAAGATATGTCAACTGTGAGGCGCAGATAACTTAAACTGCTTCTTCAATAGCCTCCACTTTAGTTTGATGTGGTCAGCATTGCTGCAAAAGAGTGGAAGTGTATGGAAAAATGTAATGACAGTGAGTAGTTGACTGACTGAATGTGGAAGGACTGAGACATATTGTTGAAACTGTTCATCATCTGTTGTACTTATTTACTTGCACCACAGTCAACATTTAATCCATTCAATCCAATATCATTTGGGAAGTCTGAAAGAGTCACAACATTAAATTACTTTATCCCCATTCAAGTTAGCGAAGAGCCAAATTGACAGTTGGCCACTCGGCCCACAGACTGTATATAAAGATGGACGACGCATCTGCAATTACCCCTACTGTACAGAAGTGAAGCTAAAATATCTCAGATACGGCCCCTGCCATCTTGTTCATTCTGAGCCAGAGTCTGATTTCGGTGGTATCAAGTTTCCTGCCCATACACCCATCTGACCAATTGTGAACAGCACCACTGAATGTCACCCCACCAACTGGCTCACACAGTTGTAATTTTATAGCATTAAATATCTAGTTAAAACCAAACTTATCAGAAAAACAAACTCTTGAACAAACAGCAGTGTGATTAAAAATGACACACACCATCTTTGGGAAAAACTTGATTTGCTATGTACTTTGGGTTTTTCGTTCGACCTGTGTTCCATCAACTAACATAGGGCGGGCCTTATGAACTGTACTGCAGCCAGCCACCAGGGGGCGGTCGAGAAATTTTAGCTTCACTTTTGGGAAGCTGTCATGTCGTCCATCTTTTTATACAGTCTATGGCTTGGCCGTACTAAAGCAAGGTTTATACTTGTGGCATTTACACATGATCTACGCCGTTGTGAGCATTTATACTTGTGCAGTGTTCTATGTCACTCTGCAGTTACACCTCCAAAACACTAGTCGGTGGCGGAGGTTTCTGTGAAGTGCTGTAAAGTTTAGGTGATTCAAAACACACATTAAACACACATTAAACATGGCTTAATAGAGACAATTTCAAACACAAGTTAACAAATCAGCTTCACTATAACTCGCAGCATTCACAGACAAACACTTGTCTTTATCTGGACACATTTTCCCCATAAAAATACAACATGCTAATGTTATTAGCACAAGCCTATGCCGTTTTACATTGTATAAATTAGCCTAGCAGCTAGCGGACTTTTCCTCTACTCATATGAAGCCAGGGACAACAGCAACATTTAACAAAGGTAACGTTACAAAATTCAGCTCCATTACAACTCACAAGGTTCACTGACAAAACAACTGTCTTATACTAAACACGTTTTCCAAACAAATACAACATGCTAACATTATTAGCACAAGCCTATGGCATTTTGCATTGTATAAATTAGCCTAGCGACAAGCGGAGATTTCCTCTGCTCATATGAAGCCAGGATAAATCACACACAAGACTTAAAATGCTATTTTGCGGGGGCTTTATTTATTGTTTGTATCTGTGAAATTAAAGTAAATAAAATTCTCTAGTGCATCTGGGCAATTTTATACAGTGGAAATAAAGTTCTTTTTTGGCTTCATGAGCAGCTGTTATAGGAATTAACGTGGTTTATTGCCGGCACTGTGTCCAGGTTTTTTACTACATCAATACTTTTAGCACCACTTCCTCTGCCATTACAAGTAAGGAACAGTCCCTAAAGAAAATAGGTGGAGCTAACACCAGTCCATTTATTTGACAAAGTTAACTCAGAAATGTTATACTAACTTGACAGTTAAACACAGTACAGTGCTTGAATTCAGTTGAATGTGTCCACGAAGCTGTACTTTAGTTGTAAATGGTGGAACTGCGTCGTTAAGGCGGTTGAGACAGATATTTATAGTCAACTGAAACCTCATTTAACGTACAATAATAACATGTGTGTCGAGACGTACGCAGCTGAAGTTAAAATGTTTGTTTGTGCGAGTTAACACGACGTAAATAGCGAAGCTGAACATGACTGCAGATTGATGGTAAACAGTCTGCGGCACTACTTCCTGAGTTTAGGGAAGGGGCTTGGTCCCGTGCCTGCGCCCCGCGAACGCGCATCAAATTAGCATCGATGAAGTTTGTGCGAACATGGCGGATTTCCTGCCGACCAGGTCCGTGTTAAAAGTTTGTCTACCCGTCTGCCTGCTCAACAGCGGCGAGGTGGAACAGCTCCGAAAGTCCAAGGAGATCGACAGATGTATTTCCCGGGAGAAAACGTACGTGAAACGGCTGGTGAAGATCCTGCTGCTCGGCGCTGGCGAGAGCGGCAAGTCGACTTTCCTCAAACAAATGCGGATCATCCACGGACAGGACTTCGACCAGCAAGCCCGAGAGGACTTCAGAGCCACGATTTACAGCAACGTTATCAAAGGTGAGCTCCGCCGCGGACGGCAGGTGCTGTACGGGGGCAGATAAGCCGCGTAGCTGCGACAGAAAGGCGCTTAAAATGGATGGGAAAGTTTCCACATCTGTGTAGCAGCGCTGGGCTGGGTGAGAGGACATACATAAACAGTCTACATCTGCTGTCGGCACACCCATATCAACCAGGGTCCTACCGAAATCTGCCGTATTTACGAGTTCATACCCGCGAAGTCATAAAACATCCAACATATTAAATTTATTTCACAGCCACACTCAAGCCGGCAGTGTCGAGTAGCCATCGGCTAGTTTAGTTGCTCAATAACTAACACAGGGATGTAGCTAATGGAGGGTAACCCCACCACCGCCACCACTGTGTTGTAAGGTGTTCCTGTTTGTCCACTCTTTGTATGTATGTACAGGGAGTACTCTATATATCATGGACAACTTATTATACTGTATAAAGTAGTGTATGATAACCACCCAAAGTAAAGTCACATTAGTTAATAACGCTCTGACTTTATCAAATGCAATATAAATGCTATTATCTTAAATATGTGCAACATCAAGTGTTGATTTCTGTTTCCAGAAGAAGTACTGGGACCCTATATTTAAGTAAAAATAGTTATACTAATGTTTAGAAATACTCTATTACAAGTAAAAGTCCTGCATTCAAAACTACTAAAAAGTAAACATTTAAGCAGTAGAATAAATAATAGAAAAATATAAATTAAAAAATGTAACTAAAATACAAATAAAAATAGAAATAAAATATAAAAGTAAAATATTAAAATATATGATCACTGTGCTGAGGCTGTACGTGTGAAAATTTAAGTAGTGGAATATATCACAAGAAAAAGTCCTGCATTTAAACTTTACCTAAATAAAAGTACAAAAAAGCACAATATATAGTACTAAAAGTAAAAATTTGAGTAGTAGAATAAATAATAAATACTAGAAAAATATAAATATAAAAAATATACAACTAAAAAATATTTAAATATAAATAAAGTGTGTAAATATAGATCAATAAATAAAATAAAGTAGAAATAAAATGTGTATTAAAATAAAAATTAAACATGCATTATGCTTCCTTGGTTAACACCAGTATTTAAAATATAAATATTAAAATATATATCGTCACTGTGCTGAGGCTGTAAGTGTGAAAATTTAGTTAGTGGAATAAATAATAAATAACAGAAAAATATAAATGTAAAAAATATAAATAAAATATAAATAAAATTGTATATTATACTGCTGAATTTTAATTATTAATGCATTAATACAGTGATACTCAACTTGTGGCCAGCGGGCCAAATCTGGGGTCTAATTTATGAACACTGCATATGCACAAAACGACACCACTTCCCACGCATCAGCTGTGATCTCTAAAAACAGACTTGATTGGAGAAACTTTGACCTATGCTTACAAACAATTTGGAGACAGGAAACTGGCGACCCAGATGGTGAGGTGGAAACCTGATTGTAGAAATTAGTCAGATATATTTTGGCTTTCGTCTGTACGTGCATTTTTAGAATAGATCCTACGCATTGTTTTATAAATGAGACCTCTGGGCTGCGATAGTGTGCTGGGTGGCC